GGTCCTTAGAGAGGGACATCATGCTTGGGAGGGTGGAGGGACGGCGCAGGAGAGGAAGGCCCTCTATGAGGTGGATTGATTCAGTGACTGGGATAATATTGGGATGGGAGTGTCGGAGACAGTGCAATTGGCACAGGACAGAGCGGAGTTTAGGGCTATTGTACATAGGGTCGATATGAGTTGCAAGCGACTCGACGGCACATAACAACAACAACATTAATCAAGGAACATTGTTGTTGTTGTGGTGGTGGTGGTGGTGTACCGTTGAGTTGGAACCAACTGATCATCAGACCCTCCAGCGGGTTTTCAGAGGCACTTAATGACATGAGGGAGATTGGCCATCCTCCCACAGAGCAGCTGGTGGATTCAAACCTAGTACCTTCGGGATTTCAGTGCAGCTTCTTGCCAGTAGGCCACCAGAGCTCCCTAAATTAGGGAATAATACTCTTAATAATTATGCCACAAGATGTTAGGAAGTATTTTATAAACCATTTTTTAATTTGGAAAAGCTATTTAACAAAATGTTATTGTAAATGTATATGCATATCCGTGTGCATGTATATGTGTTTGTGGTTGGAGACACAGAGATAATCAAAGTTTCCATTCATTTTTGCATAAACTAAGTCTCTTCAACACCTTTTAATATGGTTGTATACCTGTTTAATAATATTAGAATTTCCTTAAAACTATCCTTTTCTTATTTATCCAGGCAACTACTTACCATTCTGATTGAAAGCAATCAAGAGTCCTGGTCATTCTCTTTTTAATCAGGAAATTGCAAAGAAAGTCTTCAATGACTTCAGGTTCTGATTGCTTTGAAGGAAGAATTATATTCTGTTCCTGGAATGTAAATGTGCTATTATTTCTTTGAGAGCATGAAAATTTGATTTATTACCTTTATTCAACATTTTTTTTGTTTAGTGCTATATGCTAGACTTTTCCTTAATCACAAGATAAAGCCATGAAGAAGATCAAGTCTGTTTGCACAAAACTTATAGTCAAGTAAAAAGAGACAGAAAATTAATAAATAATCTAATTTATGGCAAACAGTATTAAATGTCTGGGAGAGAATAAAGAAAAACATATAAGAATACAGGATAACGTTTGGAGTTGCGTTACAATATATGTAGAGTAGTAAAGATATCTTGATAAAACGGCATATTAAGCACAAACCTAAATGAAAAACACTCCTAAATGATGAGGCCAACTGAGTTACATTCCAGTTACGCACATTACCAAGTGCAAATGCCCTGGGGCAAAAGTTTGAGTGAATTGTCAGAAGAGCAATAAGGAAATTATCTTGCACTTTTAATGTTATATAACAAGTCTGGAACCCTTATTCACCGTTGGTGTGAGTATAAAACGGTGCATCCACTATGGAAGGCAGTAAGGCGCTTTCTCAAAAAATTTGATATAGATATACCATTTGACCCAGCAATTCCACTACTGGGAATATACCCTAAAGAAACCAGAACTGTCACCCAAGCAGATATATTCACACCCATGTTTATTACTGTTTTGTTCACAATAACAAAGAGTTGGAAACAACCCAAGTGCCCATCAACAAACAAATGGATAGAGAAACTGTGGTATATTCACACATGGAATATTATGCAGCACTGAAAAACAAAGAACTCATGAAATAGTATACAGAATGGGTGACCATGGAGGACATTATGCTGAGTGAAATATCTCAATCACAAAAGGACAAATACTGCATAATGCCACTGTTATAAAACAGTACTGACGTGGGGTTGGGGGAAACTAAGAAAAGAGGGGATAAATAATTTACAAAGCATTGAAACAGATGAGGAAGTTGTTGTTGTTGTTGTCAAGTGTCAAAGAGTCAAAGACAACCCTATGAATGAAGTCTTGAACACAAAAATTTCATCTTTTCTCCAGGTTTATAGAGTTTCTGGAGGCAAGCAAGAACTGTATAAAAGGAACATATGATGAGGTATTATTGACATGACAAGAGTCCAGAATAGGAGCTCTCTGTAAAGTGCTCTGGGGATAGGGGGGCTGTGTAACAATGAAAGAACGATTTTTTTTTAAAAGTGAACTTTTGGGGAGAGGGGCAGTGAGGAAAATGTGCAATAATGAATGAATGGAAATCCAAGTTCTTTATAAACTTTCATTGAAAAATCTCAATTAAAAATTAAAAAATAAATAAAACACACAAGCAAAAAAATGAAATTTGCTATGAATGTCATTGATTGTACAAAAGTCTACTATTTGAAAAAAATCAAAACCAAGGGGGGCAAAAAGGAATATTTTATTTTTTCTTAATTTTTGTCATTATATGAAGAATTATATACAACTTAAAAACACAATGTCGATTTTCAGAAACACTACGGAAGGAATAATGTATAAGAGAGGCTTAAAAATTCCTGATGGTACTGTGGTTAAAAAGCACCCAGCTAATTAACCCAAAGATCAGCAGCTGGAAACCCCTATCCGCTTCCAGGTAGAATTAGCAGTCCATTTCCATAAAGATTCACAGTGGAGGAGACCTCGTGAGTTAGTTCTACGCTGTCCTTCTTTGAGTCCTAGTCAAATGGCTTTGGTTTGTGATTGGAGGGAGCTTGCATCATAAGTTCAAAATGAAAATTAAAAACCCTATCCAGCTAGATCAGGGATTAGCTGTTTTTATAAATACTTTTTTTTTAATACTGTCCTATCTCTTCCTTTACATATCGTCTATGCATTTTACACTGCACAGCAGAGTTGAGTAATTTCAATTAAAGGAATAGGCAGACCTCAAACTCTGTCTACAGATTTTCCAATCCAGTGTATTTTACGTAATGTGAATTAAGTAGACAAAAGGAAAAATCCCAAGTAAAATAAGATTTATGTTTGAAACCAAGATATTGTATATTTATTTTGTGTATCAAGCACTATAGTAGACAGATTAATTTCCCAATTACCAATATACATGAATGGTATATAAAACATTTTTAAAACCTTTTTGTAACTAGTAATGTGATCAAGGGAAAAGATGGTGGACATCAGAATAAAAATTTTCATTACACTTAATTTTAAAAAGTGTATTTTAAACTTGTTCCTAATAAAGTATCGTACTGAGATATCCAACATACTAGTAAAACTATACCTTGATTATGAGAAAGGATTTCCTATATTTCTCTTAAAAATGCAATAGATCTCCCATAATGTCTACCTAAAAAGAGCTACATCAAATTTATTAAAAAATGTATTTTCTATGAGTTGAAGCCCTCCATTTAGAACAGAATACAATCAATTCTGGCTGCAAGAAAAATTCCTTCAGGGCTTTTCTCAACATTGAGTGGCTCGATATTTTGGAAAGGAATAACTGGATTTCTAGACAGAAGTCTATAAAATATTTCAGTAGATTAACTTTGGGTAGAATAGGGGATGAAGTTTATCATGTATTATTATACACCAGGGAATTAAAATCTACAACTATAAAAGAGTAACACAATTTTCTTCTATACATTTCTCAATAAAAAATGGTTTCATCCTTGGAGAAAACAGCATCCTTCTTAATGATTATATGACTATGTAAAGATACCTTTTAAAAATATTTTTGCTATGATTGTTGTCCATACTTAATGAATTCTCAATTTTACACAAATGACATAAATTGTGTGTGCTTCTGATCAATTTACAATCTATAGCCATATCCCACTGTACTTCTTAATAAAATTAGTCCAGAGCCAAGCAAGAAGGTAAACAACCTCATCCTCACACACACAGAGACACACACAATATACACATAAAAATAAACCAAACCCTTCAAAGAAAAAACAAACAATGTTATAACTAATATTGTTGAATGCCTGGTAAACGGTAAGGAGAGTCAGAGAACCTGGGAGAAGGCTTGCACAAGATAAAAGACATTCAGACTTTTTTTGCTTTCTGATATTAAGTTATGCACCACTTCTGTCTCCTACTCAGCAGCCCGCTTAAAAGTGGCAGAAGTGCTTCCAGTTTGGGACCTTGGGCTCTGGTTCTGGAGAGTTTGCTTCATAAAAAGTATAATGCTTGTCTATTTGAATCTAAAAGACTAAAGCAAAGTGCTTATTTCTGTTGGAGGAGGAGAGGCAGAACATAGGTAGAGGCACTACAAGGTAAACCTGGAAGTCTGTGACCACCAGGGGCAAAGAATACCATTGACAGGATGGGTGCCAACACCCTAAAGAGTATATTTCCTTGGGCAATGCAGGTATTTAAAGACATCAACTTAAAATCCATATAATTCAGAGAACCACATGCCTGCCCAGGGCAAAAATGAATGTCCAGGTAAACCTGAGATAACATGAAATCATCTCCTAGGGTGGATCCCCCAGCTCAGTGAAAGTCTGTGCCAGTGACAGAGTCTTTCTACAAAGACTACAAGAGATATTTTCTTTTTCATCCCAATGGCTTTTCTTACATCTGTGTATAAAGCAGACTGTAAGATATATGTAAGATACCAAATTCTGAACTTGAGTTGCGATGGTTAGTCTTACATGCCAAATTAACTACATGTTGCTGTGTGCTGTCTTGTAGATGTGGTTACTACCCACAATCAGTTAGCTTTAAGGACAGGATCATTCATAATAGGCCTCATTCTTCCAGTTGTAAGGGCTGAAGAGCGAACACTGAGATTTCTCAGGGACGAAATCCTGCCTCATTACTGAAATATCAACCTCTAGTACGTTTTCAGTCTTCTCTACAAATATGAGAACTATATCTGAACATAAACTTCTGTTTGATTTTGAGTCCTCCAACTACCCTATAAATCTATAGTTTCAAACTTCTTAACACAAACACATGAGCCAGTTTCTGTAAATAAGAAGCACATATGTACACACATAGAGGTATTTTTCTTTAGAGAACACTGACAGATACATGAGTACTAAAAACACTTAGAGAAACTCAAGTGAGATTAAGCATACAGTGTTCAGAGATGAAAGAATTACTTTCTGAGAAGTGATTGGCCAAGCTGTGGAAACAAAGCATCCTAGTAAGAACAATTTGACTCTGCACAAAAGGAAGGCTTAATGACAAATGTGATTAAAAAGAAGACACTGAACAGCACATAGTAAAGAAGGTGTGATATTTAAAGTTTGAAAGACTTCATTCTAAAAAAGTTCTTAGCAAAATTATAGATTACAATTGTATTTGAAATTCTCACCAAAATATTAGTATCTGCAGCTTTTTCCTGCACAAACTGAGTTAGCTTTGCCAGATCTTCTTCACCTTCTGGAATACTAAAATTGTCATCTGGTATCTAAATCACAAAGAGGATAGAAAGGGTGAGCAGACATATGAAAATATTTTATTTCAGAAATCTTTTTCCGCAAAAGCAAAATAAACAATCTAAAAAAATAAATTTTATGTAAGATACCAAATCACTCTAAAATCTATAAACAAAGTATAACTAAAGGAAGCATGCTTCAGATTTCTATGTAAACATTACTCAATATAGTTCTAATAATTCAATATTAATATGGACAACTGGGAATTTTTTAATATGTAATGATAAATGCAGTCTAGCATCTCTACTTAATAGAAAAATAAAAATCCTTTAAATGCCACAATTCACTCTCCAGCCTAGATTTTCTCCACCATTACTTTTTCTTAACAAGTATCTGTAAATCTTCAGGTTATTTTTAAATAAAATCAAACTACAGAAGTTAATTCCCTAGGAAAATTCAATCAATTCTAATTATATTATGATAAAGTTAACTAACCCAACTATTTTCAAGGTTGCACAAATGTATAGCTGACCCTCTAACAGATTCTCTGAGGCTGTATATCAAAGAGAGGAGATGGACCATCTTTCTACTCGGAGCAACTGGTGGAAATGCACCGCCTTTGGACAAGGAGCACCACTGCCACAGATGCTGGCACCAGAGGACATACTGCCTGCTCTGTATTCTGTTGTTACTCTTGTCAGGTGCCGTCAAGTAGACTGTGACTGATCACAACCCTATGAACAATAGATCTGAATCTTGATCCATCTTGCACCATCCACATGATCTCTCTGTCATGCTCAAGTTCATTGTGCTAGCCACTGTGTCAGTGCATTTTGCTGAGAGCCGTCTTCTCTTCTGCTGACCTTCTACCTTTCCAAGCATGATGTCTCTCTCTGAGGACTGGTTCCTCCTGAAAATATGCCCAGAGTAAGAGAGATGAGGTTTTGCCGTCCTTGTCTGTAAGAAGCACTCTGATTACATGTTCATCAAGACAGATTTGTTCAGTTGGCAGTCCCTGGGATATTTGATATGCTTCTTAATACAATTCAAAGGGATCAATTCTTCTGTCATCCTTATTCACTGGCCACCTTTGACATGCATATTGCTGTTGTTAGGTGCCATCAAGCTGAATGTGACTCATAGAAAGCCTAGGAAGAACAGATTGGAAACCTGTCCTCTCCCGTGCTAGCCTCGCATCATCACACACTCAAGTACATTGCTACAGTTCTTGGTTCAATCCACCTGGTTGAGGGTCTTCCTCTCTTTTGCTGTCCCTCCACCTTTCCAAGCATGCTGTCCCCTCCCAAGGAATAACCTCTCAAAGCAACATGCTCAGAGTATGTAAGATGAAGCTTCCTCGTCTCTCTCTCTAAGGAGCACTCTGGCTGTGCCATCTCCAAGACATATCTTTGTTCTTTCGGCAATTCATGAGATACTCAGCACTCTGCTCCGATACCCCAGTTCAAAGGTACCAATTATTCTTCTATTGTCCTTATTCATTGTCTAGCTCTCAGATACATAGCAAGTGACTGAAAAGACCATGGCCTGAATCAGGAGCATGTTAGTCCTCCAAATAACATCATTTCTCCTTAATAATTTGGAGAGGTCCTTGACTACAGACTTTCACAGTGCAGAACATCTCCTGATCCTTGACTGCTGACACTAAGTATCTGATTGTGGATCCAAGTAAGATGAAGTCAATGACAGCTTCAATCTTTTATCCATTTATCACAAAGCTGCATATAGGTCCAGGGGTACAATTTATGTTTTCTTGATGTGGAGATTCAATGCACATTGAAAGGTTGTAGTGTTTAAATTTCTGCAGCAGTTGCTTCAAGCCCTTCTCACTTTTGAGCAAGTAAGGTTGTGTCATCTACATAAGAAAGGTTATCATTAGGTCTTTCACCAATCCTGATGCCACATTCTTCTTCATAGAGTCTGTTTTCTTGAATAATCTGTCCATCATGCAGATTAAATATGTATGGATAAAAGATATAACCCTGAGATACAGCTTTCCTAATTTTAAACCATGCAGTGTTCCCTTGCTCTGTTCACACAACAGCTTCTTGATTTGTTGTTGTTGTTGTTATTTGCCATCGAGTCGTTTGTGACTCATAGCGACCCTATGCACAACAGCCCTAAACCCTGCTCTATCCTGCGCCAACTGCACTGCCTCTAACACACCCATCCCGATTACCCCCGTCACCGAATCAATCCATCTCATAGAGGGTCTTCCCCTCCTGTGCTGTCCCTCCACCCTCCCAAGCATGATGTCACTCTCCAAGGACCCGTCCCTCCTGGCAACATGTCCAAAGTATGTCAGACAAAGCCCCAGAATCCTTGCCTCCAAGGAGTAGCTTGGTTTAATCCTCTCCAAGGTGAATCTGTTTGTTTTCCTGGCAGTCTATGGTGCTTTCAGTACTCTTCTCCAGCACCACAGCTCAAAGGCATCAATTCTCGTTCTATCCTCCCTAGTCACTGTCCAACTCTCTGATGCATTCAAGCGATTGCAAAGACCATGGCCTGTATCAGGTGCACCTTAGTCTCCAGAGAGACACCATTGCTCCTGAGTACTTTAGAGAGGTCCCTAACAGGAGACTTTCCCATCGCGATATGTTTTTTGATTTTCTGACTGCTTGTGCCAAGAGTGTTGACTGTGGAGCCGAGCAAACTGAAGCTGTGAACAATTTCAATCTCTTCGCCATCCATCCTGACACTGCCAATTAGTCCAGTGGTGAGAATCTTTGTCTTCTTGACATTGAGCTTCAGTTCATACTGAAGACTGCAGTCCTTGACCCTTCGCAGCAAGTGCATGAGGTCCTCCTCAGTTTCAGCAAGCAGGGTTGTGTCATCTGCATAACGCAGATTGTTAATACATCTTCCACCAATCCTGATGCCACAATTCTCCTCATAGAGCCCAGTCTCTCAGATAATCTGCTCTGCATACACGCTGAAAAGGTATGGAGACAGCATGATTCCCTGGCGTACACCCTTCCCAATTTTGAACCGTGCAGTGTTACCCTGCTCTGTTCTGACTACTGCCTCTTGGTCTAAGTATAGGGTTTGCATTAGCACAATTAAATGTTCTGGGATTCCCATTCTTCTCAGAGTCAGCCACAGTTTGTTATGATCCACACAGTCAAATGCCTTTGCATAATCAATGAAACACAGATAAACATTCTTCTGGTATTCTCTGCTTTCAGCCAAGATCCATCTAACATCAGCAACAATATCCCTAGTACCACGACCCCTTCTAAACCTAGCCTGGACTTCCGGTAGTTTTCTGCTGATGTGCTGTTCTAATTGTTTTTTGATAGCCTTCAGTAGAATCTTGCTTGCATGTAAAATCAATGACACTGTTCTGTAGTTTCCACACTCAGTTGGGTCACCTTTCTTTGGAATGGGAACAAATATCGATCTCTTCCAGTCAGTTGGCCAAGTGGTTGTTCTCCAGATTTCTTGGCACAACTTGGTGAGCACATCCAGGGCAACATCTGTTATCTGAAATACTACAGTTGGTATACCATCTATTCCTGGGGCCTCATTTTTTGCTATTTCCTTCAAAGCAGCTTGAACTTCTTCCTTCATCACCATAGGCTCTTGCTCATATGTTATTGCATTAAATTCTTCTGTATCTGCCAATTCCTTCCTATACAATGACTCAGTATATTCCTTCCATCTTCTTTTAATACTTCCTGGATCATTTAATATTCTGCCCAAAGTATCCTTGATTTCAGCAACTCTAGGTTTGAATTTGTTATTCAGTTCCTTGAGCATAAAAAATGCTGAGCAAGTTCGGCCCTTTTGATTTTCCGACTCTAGCTCCTCGCACATTTCATTGTAGTATTTTGCTTTGTCATTCTGAGCTGCCTTTTGGAATCTTCTGTTCAGCTCTTTAGTATCTTGAATTCTTCCTTGTGCTTTGGCTTCTCTACGCTCCAGTGCAATCTTCAGAGTCTCTTCTGACATCCATTTTGGTCTTTTCTTCCTCTTCTGTCTTTGTAATGACCGTTTGCACTCTTCCTGGATGAGCACAAACAAATGTTCTGGAAATCCCATTCTTCCCAATGTTAACCATAGTTTGTTGTGATCCACATACTCAAATGTCTTTGCGTAGTCAGTACAACAAAGATATATATTCTTCCGATATTGTTTGCTTCAGCCAATATCCATCTGACATCAGCAACGATATTACTGGTGTCAAAGCCTCTTCTAAATCCAACTTGAACTTGTGGTATTTTCCTGCAGATGTACTATTCTATTTGTCTTTGAAAGATCTTCTGCAGTATTTTGCTTGCATGTTATATTAATGATATTGTTCACTAATTTCCAAAATCTGGTGGGTCATCTTACTTGAGAATGGGAACAACTATAGATCTCTCTCAGCCAGTTGGGCAGTCAGGTGTCATCCAAATTTCCTGGCATAGATTGTTGAGCACATCCAGGACAGCATCTGTGAGCTGGAAATGTCAATTGGGTTCCCATCTATTTTTGGGACCTTATTTTTTTCCCCCAGTGTCTTCAGCAGTGAATTTCTTCCTTTGTTACCATTGGCTCCTGGTCACATGATGCTTTCTGAAATGTTTCCGTTTTGACCAGTTCTTTTTGGTATTCCTCCATCTTCTTTTGTCTGTAACATCCCTAAGTATCATAACTAAAGGCCTGAGTTTATTTTTTTTTCCCTTCAGTTCTTTGAGCTGGAGAAATGCTGAGAAAGTTCTTCCCTTTTTATTCTCCACTTCTACATCTCTGCATATTCCATTATTGTAATTTGCTTTTATCTTCTAGAGCTGCCTTTTGAAATCTCTGTCCAGATCTTTTATTTCAGCATCTCTTCCTTTTGTTTTAGCCTCTCAATACTCTAATGCAATTTTCAGTGTCACTTTTGACATCCATTGTGGTTTTTTTCTTTTTCCTGTCTTTTTTGTGCCCTTTTGCCCTCTTCATGGAAGACAGACTTAATGTCATCCACAACTCATCTGGTCGTTAATGCTTTAAGACTATTCTTAAGATGATTTTTAAATTCAGATGGGATACACTGAAGATCATATTCAGATGCACTGGAAGCAATTAAAAATATCTTGGCTTGGATCAGGCGCACCTTTTGTCTTTAAGTAATATCCTTGCTCTTCAGACACATCCTGTTCCTACTTAGTCTTCCTATTCTAAACTCTACATATTTATCTGTTAAGTCATATAGCAATTTCATGTGTTATATATTGTCACTAGCACGTCGTTTTTTTAAAAGCAAGCAAATAAATAAACCTTTATCCTCTGTGTTTTCCTATCTCTTCCTTACCCATTCCACAAATTGTAGACTTTCTCCTTTATAGTTTTGTCACAAGTTCTGTCATCAGGGAGTGCCTTTCTTCATGAAGGTTCAGAAACAATGATATGTCTCATGGGAGAAAGTAATTAACGTAGAGCTTTGTGATGGTCTTAACATTGGACAGAAGTGGAGTAGATAGAAGGTAGCACGGGACCTGAGTTCCAGCTAAACAGTGGGAACCAGGGAAGCCCTGCCCTGAGCAGAGCAAATGCAGGGAAACGCCTGCTGCACAGCAGTGCCAGCTTGTCAGATGGGTCTGTTAACGCAGGTTCTCAGTGGCTGACTCACAAGGATAATTAGCAGAAACATCAAGAGTCTGATTTCTTAATCAATGTAAATACTTATATCAATCTATTCTCTCTCACTATTAACGAGCTTACATTAGCCAAATTCATTTGACAAACTAGCATGCCTATGGGGGAAAAAAATTCTATATGTTGGAAAATAAAGTGAACATTTCACAAGAACATGTACAGTTAAGTTAAAGAATAAATATTTAAAATGAACAAATTACCTCTTCATATTCACCATCATCATCGTATTCTGTTAGGGTGACCTCTGAATATCTTGTCAAGTTATAATATCAAAAATATGGAAAAATATATTTATTATTCATTTAGCCTTAAAATATAGTTAAATCCAATATATCTCAACAAGAAGTTGGCAAATTAAAAGTAACATAGCCTTAAAAAAAAAAAAGAAACTAACTTTGCTTTTCATATAGGCTGTAAATTAAAGAGGAAATTATATTTTTAGTTATATTTCCACCTAACCCAAACACATAAAAATTATATACATCTTTTACCTATCTAATAATTCCTATCTGATTCTAAGAAGGACTTTCTCTTACAAAAACATGCATAATATAATAGCATAAATTAGTGACGTGAAACAAAACAGACAGGAAAAATAGAAGACTATTTTTTCAAATTTACTTTAAATTCTATTGAATTTTCCAGAGCTCTGAGTCCGTTAATTACAAGACAGAGTTGTTTCTTTATTTGATATAAAATACTGTGAAAAAACTTTAAAATTAAATTTAATAGGCAAGGATAATGCATTTTTAAGCAAGTATAAACTGTCTAAAAACATTGCCATGAAGTCCATTCAAGTCCTACTGAGCATCAGTTGGGTTCCTGTGGTGGTAAATCACAAGGGAGATGGGCCACCTTTTTCCTATACAATGAGTGGTGCAGTGGATTTGATTCTGCAGAGAGGTTCAGCCTTTGCATTAGCCACACAACTCCTCATGGACTAGACCACAACAACCAAATTTCAGCATTTCAAAAATTCTCAACAGCATTATAGTATCAAAATAAATTATTCTATGAAGTATTCGAAGAGAAATGTTAATTCAAGAACTCACATCTTACCAAATTCGCAAATTACTCTAATTGCAAATGAAAACGTCAAGATAATGTTTACATTACAGACAACACCACATGCCAGTAGCACTATGCTGTTGGCTGATGACTTATCATTGTTTTTCAGTTGTAGTAACTTAGTCATGCCAAGGTTAAAAGGTATGAGATTAAGCACATTAATGTATAGTTAGGGATATGAAAAGTAAAGATGGCATTAGACTACATTTAGCTGCTATTTATAAGAAACTGTATTTCAACAAACAGATGCTGCTCTGGACAAAGTTACCAGGTTGTGCCAAGAAATTTAGAGGATAACCACCTGGCCAACAGACTGGAAAAGATCTGTATTTATTCCCATAAAAAAAAAAGGTGACCCAATAAAGTATGGAAATCATCCAACAATATCATTAATATCACATGCAAGCAAGATAGTGAAGAAAATTGTCAAAAAATTACTAGCATAGTGCATTAACAGAGAAAACTGCCAGATGTGCAGGCTGGGTTTAGAGAAGGCCATGGCACTAGGGATAGAATTACCAATTTTAGATGAATCTTAGCTAAAGGCAGAGAGTACCAGAGGAATGACTGTGTTTCATTGACTATGCAAAGGCATTTGACTGTGTGGATCACAACAAACTGTGGCTAACTCTGAAAAGAATGGGAATTCCAGAATATTTGATTGTGCTTATGCAAAACCTACACCTGGATGAGGAGGCAATCATCAGAGCAAAAGAAGGAAACACCACATGGTTTAAAATCAGGAAAGGTGCACCCCAGAGATGCATCCTATCTCCATGTCACAATAGAGTTTCAGAATTTATATTCACAATCTAGATGTCACAATCTATATGCAGAACAGGTCATCCAGGAGGCTGGGCTCTTGACGAAGAATGTAATATCGGGATTGCAGGAAGATTCATCAACAACCTGCATTATGCAGATGACACAACCTTGTTTGCCAAAACTGAAGATAAGAGACATTTGCTGCAGAAGGTCAAGGACAGTAACCCTAAATATGGATTGAAGATCAACATCAAGAAAACAAAGATTCTCACCACGGGGCCAATTGGCAGCATCATGATAGACAGAAAAGATATTAAGATTGTTAACAGCTTCAGCTTGCTTCACTCAACACACTTCACACCAGCAGCCAGAAAATCAAAAGACAAATTGGACTAGGAAAATCTGCTGTCAGGGACCTTTCCAGAATCCTGAAGAGAAATGATGTCAATGTGGAGACTACGGTGTTCATGATCCAGGCCATAGTCTTCACAATTACTTGTTATGCATCAGAGAGCTGGACAAAGACTAAGGATGATAGAAGAATCTATGTCTTTGAGCTGTATACTGAGTTCAGTACTAGAGAGTACTGAACACACCATGGGGTGCTAAGAGAACAAACTGGTCTGTCCTAGAGAGAGTGAAATCAGGCTGCTCCTTGGAGGTAAGGATTTTGAAGCTCCATCTGACATACCTTGGGCATGTTGCAAGGAGGGACCAGTTCTTGGAAAGGAACATCATGCTAGGAAGGGTGGGACGACAGCACAGGAGAAGAAGACCTTAGATGAGATGGATTGACGCAGTGACTGGGGTCATAGGGGTAGGTGTATTAACGATAGTGAAATTGACTCAGAATAGAGCAGAGGTCAGAGCTGTTGTACTTAGCGTCTCTATGAGTCAGAGTCAACTCAATGACACATAACAACAATAACATCCGTTATTATATCTTCCAGGAGTTAGGTCAAAATTTCTGTAACAACTTCTGTTCTCTCTAGTAGTAAAAGAAACACCTAACAACGACGATAAAATAAACAGTATTTAACAGGTGTTAGGCCAGGAACCTAGTGGTAAGGAGGTGTGCTGTCGGGCCAAAGGCACGCACTTTAATCCAACAGCTGTTTGGCAAGAAAAAAGATGAGCTATCTTCTCCCAGGAGATTCACTGCAGCTGAAAACCTGCTGGAGTGTCAGCTATGAGTTGGTTCTGAGTCAGGGGTACATAACCACAATAACAAGCATTTAAAAAAATGTTCTAAATACATTAACTCAGTTCATCCTTATCCTACCTATGAAGCTGGAGCTGATATTATCCTTCATTTTACAAATCAGGAAATTGATACAAGGTCACATAGTTAAGACTTCAATAAATTAGAAATAATTTATTCTGTGTCAAATTCCTTTGTCATGTAAATACTCGAAATTTTTGCCAATAATCTTTCACAAAGTTCTATATGTCTAAAAAGGGGGCGATACATTGTTACTCATTCCTATCACAAACAATCACACTAGTCACAGTGTGTCTTATGCCTGTCACCTTCTAGAGATACCAAGTCCAGTTCTGTTAGGATCAATTTTCAAGTACCTCAAAGAGGCAGTATCTTCTCGCCAAACATGCCTTTCCCATAACATGGTGAAAAATGATCATGGTGTCATGGATTTATTGTTCATAATGCTTTCCTAGCCACAGGCTTTGACCTTCATAACATCACTGTGTGGAAACTCAAAGCCAGATGTATATAATCACTAAGAGATTAGTCAATTTTTCCCATCTTACCAAGTTAATTGAAAATGTCCAGCAGGGAAGATGAAAATCTCACCACCAATGGGGAAGAGGAAGCAAAGAGTGCAGCAAATGTCCTTTGAGACCAGAGTTTCCTGCATCAGTCAGACCAGGACCTACCTGAGAGCTGTAGCAGCCTCAGTGGAGACCCAGGGACTGACGTGAGACTGGGGACTGCTACCTCATGGAGCGAGAGCTGGGTGGCCTTGCTCATGCTTGCTGGAGGACTACGGTAAAGGTTCTAATGCACAGGACTAAGAGACTTTGCTAACACTGACTGCTAACACAGCCAGTAACTGAAGAACTGAAAAGATGCCCTAAAGAATTGTGTCCTGCTGCCACCCAGCCCTGAACTGAGGAAATGTACCCTGCTGTCAGACTAACACACAGCCTGTTACCTTCCTTAATAAACCTTAGTGTGGTTCTGTGAAGTCTGTGTGGCTACTGCAATGAATGTTTGGACCCTGTGATAAGGCAGTATGATCAGTGTTTGAATTAATAGAAATAGTTGCATGGGTTTGGAGGCCATGTTGGTTTTGTATTGTGGATGTTACTGGTGGTGACTGTTCTCATTTGTGAAGCTAAGCTTGACAGCTCTATGACACCCTGACACTTTTTACAATCTTCAACAGATAACTAGTAAAAAATCAGACAAAATGCAGAGATATTATCGTATATTTACATGATGGAATAGTATCCAGCACATTGGAGGAATGATTTTGAAATTTACTACCCATAGAGAAGCTGTGGTATATTCACACAATGGAATACTATGCTGCATTGAAAAACAAGGAACTCATGCAATATTACTCAAAATGGTTGACT